AATATAAAATAACACAATAAATATATCCATAAATTTCCTCAACCCAGTTATTATATTAGTGACACTGTTCAGAAAAAGATATACCCTCCCTCCCTCTCCCAATAGATTTTCCGCCCCCTCTCTCCAGGGGGCTGAGTGTATTTATCCGATTCCGCAGGGACCTTACAGTTTTTTAAGCATACCTCAGGGGGGTGTGTGTAATTTACCCTAATATTAATATAACATGAAAATGAAACACTTTGTTTATGTGTGGGCTTGACAGATCTAGGTTTAAATGGGCTTCATATGAAAGTAGATCATCACACAATTTAGACGAGCCACTGTTTAGTAGTATAGTGGGCTTCAATATATTTAATTAATAACCATTGTTATGAGGTTCAAAATTGCTGGATAACCATTTCTATTTTTTTAAATATATTTTATATTAAGGACTACATGCATAAATATATATATATATATATATATATATATATATATATATATTACCGTATATTAGGTAAAATTATTCAATTTATATGTATTTAAGTAACATGTAATTCTTTCTACAATGATTGATATATACTAACTTTATAAGTTCGATTTGTGGCTGATATAACCTCAAATCGAAAATAATATATGAGACGAGTTTCAATCTACAACTATAAAGTTTGATGAGCCCCACTACATCTATAAAGTTCGATTGTAATTGGGTTGCTTCTAATCGTAGGGTTCGGTGGTATATATTAAAGTTTGAGTTGACAACAACTCACATAACCCGATTGCCATCCTAATTGTTCGATGCCGGAGAAATAAATTTACAGTTGGACATAAGAAAATATCAACTAGTAAGTAATTATGGCAAATATTAGAGGTTACCCAATTGATGATATTGGGAACCAACAACACATGTATAAATATTAAATACGTTAAGATATTTTGATTTAAAAAAAAAAAAAAAAAAAGGTTATATATTAAAGAGAAAATAGTATTTTCACCAATAAATTAACTGCACCTACACAATCATCATTGTCCCGTGTGACAGTCAATCAATCGATGCACCACTAACCATGTGCTTGTGATTTATCTTCAATCGAATCATTTATTTCACTTTTCTCATACACCACTTATCCCTAATATTCAAAGCAAATTTCATCTTGTGAAGGAATCTATTTCCATTGCAATCAACTTTCAAATAATCGCCCCGTAATGAATGCACCGGCGGTTGAAGCAAGTGAGAACATGTTAATTGATTGACTAACTCTGAATTCCCCGTCAACGATTGCTAGGTGAAGTTAGTTACATCTGTTAAGTTTACAAATTATTATACGAAAGTGTATGTTTATCCAATCCATCTATATGGCTGGTTACCGGTTACTTCATTATTTGATACAAAGAAAAAAAAAAGAATCAAATAATTGAATCTTGTCCCCCATCTACATTTCATGAAAAAGAAAAGTGCTAATCAATCATATTCACATAAGTGAGTGTGATAATATTGTTTTGCCAAAAGAGAAAAACAAATAAAAAACAAAAGAGTATTATATTTTCCCACATGCAATGAGAGACCAAAGTCAAAACAGAAACTTGGAATCAATTTAGACTAGCTAGGCAAGTGTGACAACATAACTGTACACTGATCAAGAAAATACAAATTGATTTTCCCAATTTTCTTTAAATACACATTAAACACCAAATTACAAACCCAGCTTCATTTTTTTAATTTTGCTTTGTCGGTGAAATTGAAACAAAAACAAATTACATAATAACTTACCCTTAAAATAATAAATAAAAGAAAAAAGAAAAAAAAAAAACTAGGAACCATAACTCAAGCCCTTTTTGCGAGCCGAGCCACATTGCATATTATTGTACCAATTTTACCCCTCTCACGTCCAACTAATTGCAACTGGACTCCCCACAAGATGCTTCCCATCTGACCACTCAATTCTGCCAAACTCATTTGTATTGGACGGCTTAGATGCTGCAGCACTAAACGTCACCGTATAAGGTTTCTTCTCGTTCGCTTGACTAAAAGTCAAACTCCCAGGCTCCACAGATATCTTGACCGAATCGCTCGATGTAGTAATGGAAACCTTGTACGTGCCAGGTGGTCCCACGTTGGTTAGTGTTCTCGTGTGCTTCACCACAGTGGACCCCGTACTACTCTCACTGCTGCCGGTACTACCACCACCCGTTTGTGATTGGAGAGATAGCGCGAACGAGGGGTAATTTAGGTCATTCACACTGTACGCTTTGTTGGCCCCACAGCTGAAACTCCTCCTCGCTAGGCTGTTGATTTGTGCTGACGTGTAATTTAACGCGCACAGGAAATTCAAATAATCGTCTGTGTTCAAATCGTAGACCAGCCCTGGGTTGAGGGCTGATACGGGGTCCACGTGTCCGGATCCGTGATCGAACGGTGTGGATGGCTTGCCCGTGGAAACGTCTTGGATCACTTTCCCGTTTTTGTAAGCCGTGTAAGCCGTGGTCATGAGAGCCGATCGGATCGCGGCTGGGCTCCATTCGGGGTGAGCCGACTTGAGCAGAGCTGCTAAGCCGCTTATGTGCGGACACGACATTGATGTACCTGATATTATGTTGAAGCCGACGCGCCGAGTGTCCTCCGCCAAGCCGGTGGGCCCCACTGCACCGGACCACCCGGCTAAGATGTTGACACCTGGCGCTATGAGGTCCGGCTTCAGTATTTCTGGGGTGATGGAGTTTGGGCCGCGTGAGCTGAACGCGGCGACCACGGGCGAAGGCTCGATTCCCAGCTTCGTTCCTTCGAATAGAATTGTGGCCGTTGGATTGGAATCTGTAAATAAATACGACTTGAGTTCCTGACCGGTTTTTTCGCCGACGGCGGTTGCCGGAAGTAAGTGGGCGTCCGCCACTAGCTCCTCGCCGTTGGCGGCGGTGTTGGTCAAAATCATGCCGGCTCCTCCCGCCGCTTTGACGACGGAGCCCTTTTGAACTCTGGGATTAATGCCGCGGTCGCACAACACGATTTTGCCGGCAACTTTTTCCGGTATGAGTGTCCCCGTCATGCAAAGATTTCCGTTAGTAACGTTGCTCACATTTCCGGCGTAGACGAACGGAAGCAATTTACCGGGCAACAAATCTCCCTTGAAAAGAGAGACGCCGGAGTAGTTTTTGCCGTTGCCGAGGCTTACGAACGCCGGGAAGTCACGATCGAGGGGTCCGGCACCGACGGTTGTTATCCA